AACTCAGGCCCTTGGGCTTGCCAGGGAAGCACTTATCCTATTAGCCATCTCCCCAGCCCCCCACTGGCCTCAATCTTGCAATCCTCCTGATTCAGCCTTCCACAGTGCTGGGATTACAGATGTGCTGCCATGCCTGGCTCCTAGTCTTTGGGCAGGGGTGCAGCCCTACTCTAAGTTGCTAAATTGCTGGGGCTGGCCTCAAACTCATGATCCTCCTGATTCAAACAGCCAGGGTTACAAACATGGACCATCACACCAGGCCAAGAAAAATAGTTTACCAGTGAGAAAGACAGTGTTGACTTTCTACCAAGAGGGCATTCTAAAAAGCTGCAAAAAGCGCAAGAGGGAAGATGGAACACTGTGTTGGAGAAAGCAGTATAGCAAGGAAGGAGAAGATGGGATCCTTTCGGGGGCTGTCTAGCACTTACTTTACACCAGATGCTGGGTACTAAAAGGCACATCTCTAAAGTAGATCTACAAAAGTAGACAGACAGCTCTTTCATTTCCAGACGCCTTCTGAAGGAACAGACCACACTACTGTTCTACATGTCTTAGGGCAGTTAAAGAAACTGAAAGGCTCACTGTGTCGTAGGGCCGTGCACAGACAGCTACTTCTCTGTATCCGTGCATAGCACCCTCCCAGCGGAGCCCTCTTTGCTCTATGCCTGAATTCCCAACCCCAGTTAACTATCTCCTATGTAGACAATCAGTGCGTCAATATTTCACACAAACATGGTCTCCTGAAACACGCAAGATCGGCCTCCCCTGACGTTACAAGGTGTAGCGTCCAACAACAGTGAGCAAGGCAGCCCCACAGAAATCACGACAGAGCCAACATTCCGCCCAAAGGGCTTTCCGTTCCTTTGCTCTGTGGTTTCCCAAAGAGTAGTTCAGAGAAAAGCAGCGACCCTAGGCAAAGGGGATGCGAGGCCAAACAAAAGACCAGGACTCCGAGCGCACACTAACTGGGGTCCGGGGGGAGAGCCCCGCTTCCCCGGGGCCGGGGGAAGGCTCATCCGCCTCCGTCGCGTGAGCAGAGCCCAGGCGCGGGGCGCACGCAGCCCAGGCCGCCCCACCCCAGGCCGCCCCACCGCAGGGCCACAGTGGGCGTGCGGCTCCCGCCAAGCGCAGCCCAGAGCCCGACGACGCCACCTCCGCGGGGCCTCGCAGCGCCGACTGCGAGCGCGCTCACCCACGGCCACGTCCACGGCCACGTCCACGCCCCGTGCAGCTGCCGCTCCGCTCCCGAACGTTTGCACCACTCCTTGCTCTGCACCGCACACGTCTCCCTCCGGTCGCCGAACGAGCGCCAAGCCCCGAGTCCCGGGCCCGCGCCTGTATTTAAAGGCGTCCGCCCGCGAAGGCGGAGGCTTCATTCCCCCGCAGCCAGGCCCTCCCGGACTTTGCCCCGGCCGCTTTCCCGCCGCTCCACCTCCTGCAGCGAAGGCCCAGGTTTCCGCCAGGGCGCGGGGGGCGGGGCGGGGCTGGAGGCTCCGCCCCTTGTCAAGCTTGGCGAATCAGCTCGCGCCAGCTCAGCGGCCCCGCCCCCGCCGCCGTGACTGGGGCGCAGCTGCGGGCCGGAGTCGGCTGGGCGGGAGTTGTGCGTGGAGAGAGCCTAGGCCGCCTTCGAGGCGGTCCGGGAGTTGAGGGTCGAGCCTCGGGGTCCCGCCAGCCGCCTGGCTGCCGCCCCTTCCTGGCCGGCTGTGAGCACTGAGGCGTTTCGCGAACGCCCCAGGTCACCTGGGCTCGGGTTGCGGGCCGAGGCGACCCGAAGGCCCCGCGCCATTTCCGGTCTCCAGCCCCCTGAGTCACCGTCACCGCAGACCCCGCGGGCGGGTCCCCACGGCGGGTCGCACCCACCCAGGCCCGCGGCCCAGGGTTTAGTCACCTCGCACTGGGTCGGCGCGTCTGGGAAGGATGCGGAGTTCCGGCAGGACTGGGCCGAGGGGCGTCCCCGCCCGGTCCCTAGCGGGAGAAGCGCCACGCCGCGCCCGCGGGCGGGGGTGTTTTCCAGGGATTTTCCAACGACGGGATCTGAGATGCATCTGTGATACACAGTAGAGTATTGGTAACATGGGTCCGAGGAAGAGTAAACTTGACACTTGACGGGTGCAGCTTGCCTACCTTGCAGACAAACGTGGTCTAGCTCTGCGGGCGCGGCCTGGATTTGGGAATTACAGGCACCATCGTGCTGGGCTGGGCTCTGCCCACCTCGAGTGTGAAGGGCAGCTGTTTCTCCACCTCCGGGTCATATTCAGCCTCTAAGAAAAATAAGGCCTCGCATAGTTATGGCTTTTTATTTCCGTTATTAAGTGAATTGCATCATATGACATAATCTGTATTTGAAATCATGAATAGTTGTTTTCTAATCATGCGTCCTCCAGTCATCTCAGTTTCTGAGTATATGCGCGATTACAGCGTTTCTTAAACATCATAACGTTATTTAAGGAAATGAGCTATACACAGGGTTAATAGATGTCTCCGGACAGCCATCATATTTGTCATCAGGCCTTAGCCAAATGAGTTAATGTGGTGCATGACTGTTCCTTCTGAAGAAAGTATTAGGCATATTAAAATACCATACATGGGTTATTTTCCTGACAGGTTCACAACTTTTAAGAAAATTGTTAGATGTTGATTTTTAGCTTGCTGATGACTGTAGGAAGTGTAATAGACTTTGAATGTTCAATGCAGTTGATACCGCTAACAAAATTTTGTCTGTGTCAGACAGTAAGCTACAGTGGGAAGATGCCAAACGGGGTAAAACATAATCCCAGTGCCCTGGAAGGCTGAGGCAGTTGTGCACCTTCGAACAAAGCTTGAGCCATTTGGCAATTTATCAGAATCCTCCCAGACTTAAACGGGCAGAGGACAGGGCCGGGAATGTAGCTTTGCATCTGTCTGAAGTCAAACTCTAGTTCCCCAAATAACAATAATAACATAAAATAGACTCAGTACCTTCCAGAGTTCCAGGCCTTCTTACCTTCTATTTATTTAGTACCGGGAATGAACGCAGGACCTTGTGCTCGCTAGGTAGGCACTTATGCCAATGGGCTATCTCCCCAGCCCCAATCTTTATTTTACTTTTTGGTATTAAAAAAAAATTACCTATTTGATACAGGGTCTCGCTACACAACTCGGACTCTAGCAATCCTCCTGTGTCAGCCTCCCTGCACTGTGATTACAGGCATGCGCCACCTCGCCAGATCTCAGTGGCAGGCTCGGAGGGCTTGAAGGGCTCCAAGGGCCCAGGGCTGGGCAGGGGCTGGGCCAGCACGGCACTTCAAACCCAGGTCCTTGTGCTTGCCAAACAAGTGCACAGACCACTGAGCTATCTCCCTAGCCCCAAATCGTTATTTCCAATTTGACATTTTTTTGAAAAAGATTTTCCTCTGGGGCTGGGGAGATGGCTCAGTAGAATAAGCGCTTGCCTGGCAAGTGCAAGGGCCTGAGTTCAATCCCCAGTTCCGAAAAAAAAGTAAATAATATTTTCCCCGTGTTCTTTATTGGTAGTTTAATAATATTTCTCAGCACAATCAATAGGATCTCAGAAGTTAGAGTATCAGTGCTGACTAGAATGGACCACTGGATCTAGGACATCAACTCTGAAGCTGTAGATCTCTAACTGTTCCTGAGTCTCTTTCAGGAGATCACAATGGTGATGTAGGGGAATGAAACTCCTAACCTGAAAGATATCTGGGATGAGTTCATGTTCTCTAAAACTGAAGAGTGAATTTTACTTTTTGGAGGTTGAGGACAGAATATATTTATTAGGGGAAAAAGGAAATCCAAGTGGGTTGCACAAGGAATCTGTCTTTTTAGGGAGATTTTTACAGAGCAAAACCAAGAGGTGAGGCATATCTAAGGTGGAAAACGGGGGACTCCTTAGGTGGGCATGAGGTGGGACAAAACTATGGTCGACCAATAAGATTACAAGCACAATTGCTCAGCTAAAATTGATTAAATTAGGGCCAGCCCGGTAGCTCAGCAGATTGAAGCTCCTATTTAGGCAGACACAGGGTTCAGTCCCTGGCCTGCCTACGGGCTGTGCCCCAGGGGCACACTGAGGGGGCAATTGAAACTCAGCAAGGTGCCACGTGCTTGGGAAGCTGAAAACAGGAGAATCACTACAAGTCCGATCTGTGTAGTGAGGCCTTGTAGACCCTGTAGACCCTGCACTAAATTAAAAAAATAATAATAATAAAATTTTAAAAAAATTTATTAATTTGGGACCAAATGGGGAAGCAAGTCATGTAACAAGCAGACCTGGATTTAAAACAGGATCGCACAGGCCCGTGAACCTGCTTGCAGGTGCTTTAATCCTCTGAGCTATTTGGCCGGCCCTAGAGACCTATTTAGACTATCAACCCTTGGTGTTTATCTTTAGGGAGGTATACATTTGTTTGATCTTTTGTCTTGAGGTCTGGCCAACAGGGGAAATGTCTTGTCTCCCAGGGTTGCCAGGCATCCTGTCTTCCACACTGGCTCCTTCGGAGGGCCCAGCCCTGTCTGACTGCTTACAGTATTACTAACTTAGCTGCCTACAACCACATCTTCAGAACAGTATGTTACTTGTTTTTCGCTCAATCTTTCACAAGCACATAGTGGGATTTTCCAGAGATTATATTGTGATATTGTAGCAGGTTGAATGCAGAGGCATACAAGAATCCAGTTGTCAGAGATTTACCACAAGAAATTTTTAAAAACCCACATACAAAATAATATCAATTTTCTGGGCCCACCAGATAGCTCAGCGGATTAAACTGCCTGTTTAGTGCAGAGCGCAGGGGGTTTGGGTTTCGATTCCCAGAATGCCATGCCAGCTTCGCCCCCAGGGGCATGCTGCGACGGCGATTGCAATTGAGACTGGGCCTGGTGGCACATGCCTGTGATCCCAGCACTTGGGAGGCTGAAAAGAGGAGGATCACTGGGAGTCTATGCAGTGAGACCCTGTACTAAACACATGAAAAAAAAAATCAATTTTCTAATGTTTATTTGGAAAACTGAATTTGCACTAAAGAGCTTATGTATGTATGTATGTATATTAGCATGTAAGAAATTTATTTTCAATTTAAAAGAACTATTTTCTTTTGGGGGAATTAATTTCATAATGTATTATTTTTAATTTTCAATATGGTAAGTACCAATAGATAGAAACAATGCAAGAAAGCTACTTTTAGAATCTTCTATTTTTAAATATGCAAAAGGGTCCTAAGTCCAAACCACCTGAGGACAGATGCAGGATCAAACGTGGTGGCTTCGTGCCTGCTAGCTGCTAAGCATGTGCTCTACCACTGACCTACAGCTGTGGCCCAAAGCTAAAATTATCTTCAAGTTGCATTTTATGGAGCCCTGAATTTCTCTGGTGGTGTCAGAGTTTTGTTAAGAGAATGGAGGGCTGTGTGACCTGACTCCGCCACTTTTCCTTCTCCCTGTAATCAGACATGTACTTCATCTGCTTTGTTTCTAAATCTTCCATGTAAGGTTTCAGTTTATAAGTGAGTTCCTCTTATATAAAGTTTTTAAACCATTGACAAATTCATTAAACAAGTATTTCCCCCAAATGTTGACTACAGGATAGGATTGTGCTATTCATTAAGACTTTTTTTTTTTTTTTTAGGTCAAACAGTGAGTAGTGTAGATTGTTTTCTTTTGTTGTTGTTGTTGTTGTTTTTTTCGGAACCAGGGATTGAACTCAGGCTCTTGCGCTTGCCAAGGAAGCGCTTATTCTACTGAGCCATCTCCTCGGCCCCTAGGTTTTGGTTTTGGTTTTGTAGGACCAGGGATTGAACTCAGAGTAATGTAATGTTAATGTCCAAGAAAGTAAAACAAATAGTCCCCTCTGCAGTAGCTCTTTAACAACTGATAACACATAGAGGTCAATGTTCCAGAGCTTTAAAGCAGCTCTGAGGTTTAGCCCACTATCAGATTGGGTACTGTATTATTATCAATGACAGTCACCCCAAGAAATGCAGCAGCCACATCCACCCTTCTTCAGGGGACAGATCCACTGTACTTTTCAGATTGGCGACGTTGTCGCCAGAGACCCAGATCCAGCCATCCTTCCACACATGGAAGAGGTGGACTGATCCTCCTGAGTAGGCATCTCTGTAGGTAGCCTGCTAGATGGCTGCACAGGCCAGGTCAGAGGCCTCCTTCACTTCAGGTCGGAGTGAACTGGACCCATGACCCCAAAAACATACACAAAGCCAGAGCCCACAGACAAGGCGGCCCTGGAGATCTGGTTCCCTTCATTGTTCACATAGTAGAGGCTGGACGCTCTCTTATCCCATGTGCAAATTATGGTACCCATGGACAGCCTCATGCCCTTGTACTGAGAGACCATGTTGGCTAGCAGCTTGGAGGCCACTGCTACTGAGATGCCCTGTGGAGGACCACCTGAGCAGCTCTCCTTGAAAGAAGAGCGACTGTCTCCATTCTGACTGAGCCTGACCCTATTTCCTATGGACAGAGCCGGCTAGGACTTCTGCTTATCAGTTGGCCTTAGGTACATGTAGGCCACCCACCTAGCTCAGCTCACAGTGATCACCTGCTTCCCACAATTCTCAGTCAATCCTCCTCAAGCCACTCCCCCACTGAATAAAACCGGGTGAGGCCCTGGGTCGCTCTCTTCGTTCCGGAAAGCCATCTTCGTGGCTGGACTTAGAGCCCCTTGACTCCCCGATGATTGAAAATATAATTTAGTGTCTATTTTCCCCGTGGGTAGCATTGTAAGTGGTAGATTGGAATCAACTTGATGGGATTCCAATAATGTAACTTTGGGATTATAAATATTGGCTTCTTGGACCGAGACGAGGTCCAGGAAGTGTCTCCTACGATGCCCTCCTTATTTTGTAACGCATAGACTCAACATTGCCGAGCCAACAGCCGTTCTCAGAAGCTGCAATCTGCTGCACACCCCCCCCCCCCCATGATGACCAGAACATAGGGGTTGATCTCTATCACCTCCATCACTGTGAGGAAGGTGGTATTAGTACCTGTGGAGGCCCGGGAGTCAGCTGCAACAATGAGTCCACGGCAGAACTTGAAGGTCAGGGCGGTGGCTTCAGTGTTTCGATTTGTAGCTCCTGGGGAGCACCTCAGCTGGGTGCAGCCAGGCTCAGTCCAAAGCTCAACTCGCTGGCCCCGGTCCAGCAGACCTGCAGGTCCCCCAAGTCCAAAAACCCCGTACAGTTCACTGGTAGTGGCCTCTCCAACACACTGACCAGTGCAGTGTCTAAGAAAGGCAAAAAGAACTAACTCCTGAGGGTCGTTTGTGTGTGTGTGTGTGTGTGTGTGTGTGCGCGCGCGCGCGTGCGTGTGTGTTTGAGGGCCGTATTTGTAAGTAAAGAATGATTTGTCCCTACCTTTGTAAGCTTTATTCTCTAAAGGGTAACATGAAAAAACAAAACAAAACAACATTTAAAATCGGCTCCTCCTTTCCAAGATGACGAAAAAAAGAAGGAACAACGGTCGTGCCAAAAAAGACTGCGGTCATGTGCAGCCTATTCGCTGCACGAACTGCACCAGTGCGAAGGATAAGGCCGTTAAGAAGTTTGTCGGAACATAGTGGAGGCCGCCGCCGTCAGGGACCTTTCAGAAGCGAGTGTCTTCGACGGTTATGTGCTTCCTAAGCTGTCTGTGAAGTTGCATTACTGTGTGAGTTGTGCCATTCACAACACAGTGGTCAGAAATCGATCTCGTGAAGCCTGCAGGGACCGAACTCCTCCACCCGGATTTAGACCTGCTGCTGCTGCCCCACGATCTCCACCAAAGCCCATGGAAGGGGAGCTGGGGCTTAATGGACTGAAGAAAACTCTTGAGAAAGAAATAATGAATGTTATACTTAAATAAGTAAATAAAGCATAACACGAGCTCATCAGATGATAAATGTATAATGGCAACTTTATTTTTTTATTTTTATTTTTTAATGAATTTAGGACAGGGTCTACAGGGTATACAGGGTCTCACTACAGAGCTCGAACTACGTAGTGAGTCTCCTGTTTTCAGCCTCCCAAGTGCTGGGATTACAGGTACACGCCACCATGCCCAGTCTCAATCGCTGTGTCACACCAGGGGCAAGGCTGGCACAGCAGGCTGGGTATCGGACCCTGGCGGATGTGCTCTGCCTAAGCAGATACTTTAAGTCCACTGAGCTCTCTGGCTAGCCCGACAACTTTATTTTAGAAAGAAATATTTTTATGAGAGTATTTGAGTATGTACTTAGCTTAGTAGGTCATGAGTACTTTCTCCAGTTATAATTTATTTTCTAAAAGAAACACGGGTATAACCGAGGGAAAAATGGAGAGAGGAATAAGAAAAACGAATGTGGGGAGATCAATTCAGAGGAAAATTGCAGACACCTAGAATTGAACGCATGTGCTAAATGCTACACGCGGCAATTTGCTGTAGTGCTAATTGAAATCAAAATGGCCTGGGAGTAGGAGTTCATGTTTGTAATCCCAGCATTTGGGAGCTTGAGGCTGGAGGATCACCTGTGCTCCATAGGCTAGCCTGGAATGCATACGGACACCCTGTTTCAAAAAACAAAATAAAACAAAACAGAATTTAAAAAAAAATAAATGCAACATCTTCAGTTCACAGTAAAAAGCTTAAACTTTAGGAACAAAATGAAATCAGAAGAAGGATCTCTGGGAGAAGAGCTAAAAAGACGCACGCAGAGCAGGCCAGAGGGGCATGAGAACAAAAGATAAAAGCTGATGCAAAGTGGGTAACTTCTGCTGAGTCAGGAGTACAGGACTCTGTAGACGCTTACAGTTCTCCTCACGCTCACGCAGAGGTATTGGCATACACAAAAGACAAAACAATCAGTCAAAACACCTTATTTTGAAACACAATAAATAACCCTGCTCAAAGAGCAAGGCCTCAAAAAATTGAGATAAAACTCAAAATCGTCTCTCTCCACGGAAATCTTTAGTAAAAGGCGAAAGATTTATACGTTCTGAAGAGAAACCAGAGTATAGACAAAATAGCTTACATGTAATTCTTGAGTAACTATAACACCTATACCAGTAATGGTCACTCTTTATCCAAGTCAGCTGATAACTTCTGTTTTTAATTTCTAATAATTTTGTTAAAACAGTGCTTTTAGGGAAAAAATAGTCAAAAGAAAAAGAGAAAACTGCCCTTTTTAATTTAGAAAGTGACCTTTGCGCAATGCATTGTGGGTATGTAAATGACTTTTTTAAATAAAACCATGCTGGGGATATGGGGCTTCCCACTTGCTAGACAAGCAATCTACCGCTGAGTTATATTTCCAGCCTTCAAATCTTATAATAAATCATTTTGTCCTACTTGTTTTAATCTTTTTTTTTAAAATTATATATATATATGTGTGTGCGCGCGTGTGTGGCCAGCTCAGCCCACCAGGGGGTAGGGCTGGCTGGCATGTGGTGCTGGGGGATTGAACCGCGGTCCCTGTGCTTTGCTGAGCTTGTTCTAAGTAGGTGCTTTAGACCACTGAGCCATCTCACCAGCCCCTTGTTTTAATCTTATACAACGTCTAGGGTTTTTTTAAAAATTGTTTTTGTTGTTAATAAAATTAAATTTATCCTGAGAAATCATGGTAGGACGCGGCCTGTAACCTCAGCACTCAGGCTGAGGCAGGATTGCAAGTTGGAAAATAGCTTAGGTGATTTAGTAAGACTGCTTCAAAGTAAAGATTTAAAAGCAAAAAGTCGGAAATGTGATTCAGTTAGGAAGCCCAGGGTACCATCTTTCCAGCACTGAAAATAAACAAATATCCCTAGGGAAAAAAAAAAAGTAATTGTCAAAACCTAAGACATGTAAATTTAAAAAATAAAATAAAATAAACTCTGTAAATTGAAGTCAGAACCATTGTCCACAATTTTGACTCTCTTTAATTACACTCACTCCGGCACTCTTCTTTTCTTTTCTTTTTTCTTTTTCTTTCTTTCTTTCTTTCTTTCTTTCTTTCTTTCTTTCTTTCTTTCTTTCTGTTTTTGATTTGTTTGTTTGCTCCTTGGTTTTCGGAGACAGGGTTTTGCTATGTAAAACCCAGGCTGGCCTCAAACTAGTGTCGATCCTCCTGCCTCAGCCTCCAAAGTCCTGGAATCACAGGCGTGCACCACCACACGGCTCATCCTGCCACACTGAACAACAGCTCAGATGGTAGTAAACTTTTTTTTTTCTTTTGTAGTTATCTTTATACTTCAAGCTATCCAGTGTTTTCTGCAAGTCTTATAAAATTTCCTGTGGTTTCTGCATTACGGTACTACTGTCATTAGTGGCTTTGCCCCAAGATTACATTGAAACAAATAGAGATGATTGGTGTGTTCACAGATGGCATAACATTTAGATGCAAAGAATGAGTCAAAGAGCTGGGGCGATAGCTCAGTAGCATAAGCAACTGGCTAGCAAACCGAAGGTCCTGAGCTTGATTTCAAGTACTGAGAAAAAAAAGAACGAGCCAAAGCTTGGACCTCCCTGGCTCAGGTACGGTAGCTGGCTCCTGCAATCACAGCACTCCAGGAGACTGAGGCAGGGGAACTGAGAATTCAAGGTCAGCCTACACTACACAGAGAGAACTGGTCTCAAAATGCTGAGGAAGAGGAAGAGGGAGGAACTTCGGCCTCCTGCCTCTGGAGTATTTTGTATTTTATGAAGGTGGGGTGGATTGGGCTATAGAAGATGAAGTGGCTCTTGGACAGCTGGAATAGCTGAGTCACAACTGAGGAGGGAGGAGCACAGGCATCTTTGCTAAGGAAGGACATCAAATCTGCTTTGCATTGCATTGATAAGTGAACTGGTGCATGGCACACATCTGTAATCCCAGCAGTAGGGAGGCTGAGGCAGGAGAATTGCTGCGACTTCAAGGTCAGCCTGGGCCACATAATAAATTCAAGGCCAGACTGAAGTGCACAGAAAGACCTTTGGAGTTTGATCCCTAGGCATACTGAGACAGTAATTGAGACTAGGCATGGTGGCACGCCTGTAATCTCAACTTCAGGGACTGAACTCGGACCCTTGTGCTTGCCAGGCAGACGCTTATACTACTGAGCTATCTCCCCGGCCCCTTGTAATCTCAGCTCTTGGGAGGCTGTAAACAGGTGGATCACTGTGAGTCTGATCCAGTATTGCAACCCTGAACACCCTGTAGAATTAAAAAAAAAAA